AAGGCTATATGTTTTCACACGGGTGTCTCGGGAGCATTTCCCCGTGCTGTTGTTTCTCCGTCATCTCAGACAATGACCATGGTGTCTTCAAAAATACTGGTCGTTTTCCAGATGTTGTCAGAAACATGCAGTCAATAGTGGAGTCAAAACAATTAATACTGGGAAAACGTTAAACCTCGACAAATCGAAAATACAGCTTTTGAGTTTGATGATCAAAATAGAAATTTCATTTTGATCAGTTTTTGATTTAGAAACAAAATCATGAGATTTGGACGAAGTTTGGATGAGGTTACTATATCCAGCAGTATGTCACTGTCAAAAAGTCACGGACAGTAATTTATAACCTTCTTGAGTTCTGGAAAAAGTTGCTCAAAAAGGTTCATGAGATCAATTTTTTGAGTTTTTGAGCTCCACAGTTTATACATTGAGACTGACCCACAACACTGCAGACGGGTCTCTCTTTGCTTCCCCATAACCTTAACTCAGATTGTGCAACCATTGTAACCCCTGATAGAGAACTCATTATGGGATATGAACCCCTCGTGGCACTCACCACATGGAAGACCTCCGCATCCGGCCCGGTGCTGAGGATCATCTGAGGCTGGAGGCCGGACTGCAGGAAGAAACCGTGAGCCGACACGGTGCAGCCTCCACTACAGAGAGAAGAGAGAGGACGTTAGCTGGTGTTAGCGTTAGCATCAGCCGGAGACACAGTAGATCCCCACTGGGAGCGACCTGCTGTTGGCGTTAGCAGTTAAGCTACTTGTCACCTCCTACTCATTTCCTTCCTGTGAAGCTTTAATCTGTCTCGCCTCATCTACAGACTTTCCCACAACCCCCCTTGGCTTTCTCTCTCTGTTGTACCTCTTAGTAACTCAGATTTACAGTTTGACAAATAGTGATATCCAAACCATTTGTGCAAAGGTTCTCAACATCTTAGCGCTAGCCACCACTAAGATGTTGAGAACGCTACTTCACTTCTTCAATATGTGGTGCACTTATATTTAAACTCCTGCTAGTTATTTTTTCTTCCTTGGATGTGTACGTATTAGACTTTTAATTGTACAGGTGGTTGCCTGTATTATTAATATGAAACCCTAACCCTAACTTTTCTACCGTCATCCGACCTCTACTTCATTCCTTTCCATTGGTTCCACTTCATTTTTTATTAGACTGCTTCTCATCTTTTATACTTTGAATGTGTACTTATGAGATGTTTTTATGTTAATAATGTGTGGTTGCCACTTTACTTAATACGGTTGTATTTGTATCTTTACTGGAACTATATCTTTGCGGAATCAACGTACATCTCCCCTCTGACTCTGAATACAACGTGAAGACTGCAAACCCCATTCTTGGTTTGAAATAAGTCTCTAACCTGACGAAGGAGCGTGAGGGCTGGATGCTGTTGATGATGGGGTCTTGGTTGTAGGTGAACCGCACCGGCGCGTGAAGCTCCACCGAATCCACCGTCAGCTTCACGGGTTGTTCGGAGAGAACGGCGTGTGGAGGCGTCTTACAGGTCAGCATGGGGGAGGACAAGCTGAGGGCGGGGGTTAGGACGAGGGTTAACACATGACATGTTTTGTTATGTTTTAGTGCAATGACATTTACCCCTGTTTTTTTGCATTTGTCTTAAACCTAGCCAAGTAGTATCGTAACATTTACTTACTTACTATGTTATGTAGCTTCCTTATTTTACCCTTAATCCCAACTTTTCCTTTGCTAACCAAATGTCACATTCTTAAAGTTACGTTTACCAAGTGTTTTGTAAATGAAAAGCAAAATG